TGGGCCCCCCTCTCTACCCTCACGGTTTTATTTTTGGGAACGATCACGAGCAACTTCCCAGTGGGTCATTATCCAAGCCAAACTTGAGCAAACATACAAAATACAGGGATCATTTTGATATATAACCCATGATTATATGCATGGAGGAACTATAGCTAGGAAGGGGCCTACAAGTTGAAAGATTAGGGGTTACTAGTAAAGTTGAGAGATTAGGGGTTACTAGTTACTACATTGTATTGAGGGGCACCGGTCATAATATTATTATTGTCGGCAAGACATTCCTGTTTGATGAGTTGACTGCAACTGGCGCTGCATTTATCATGCATGATAATATATTGATATAATTCTTATATTCCAAGGTTCATTCGTGTCATGTAGTTTTCTTTTCTGCGTTGTGGAAATTGTGTCTTGGTTTAATTGCTATTATGCATGCTTGCTAGACATAAGCACATGCCCAGCAGCCGTCCTCTTCCAATGCCGTAGAAAAATTACGATCTTGCAGAAATGTCTGACTCGTGACTAGCATATCATTGATTTATAAAATTAAAAGCTTTAATAATACAGAAATTAAATCCAAAACATTATCTCCAAAACATAATGGGCAGGTAAGATGTTGTGGGTTTATAGATTCGCAGTCTGTCGTATATGTTAAACTGCTAGTCTCACAAAATCTTGAGAAAAAGATAACGTGAAAGCAATGTATATTTGACAAGAAAAAATCCACCATAAATCAAGGAAAAAGAAAAATTCGTGATTAAGATGATAATATATACTCTCCAAACTGATACAAGTGGTGTGGTGGTGGGGTTGCTAATTCATTTCGTTAACCAAAAATACATGCTCTTACCTCATCATTATTTATATATATATGCTGTTTGCATATCTCTTCACATAAGGCAAAGCTACAAGCTCCTTGTAGCTTGTACTTATCCTTTTAAATATTCTAGCTAAGTTCTAACAACATGGTAATAATTGCTTTTAAAAAACAACACAAATGATATTTGTTATTGACATGTATAGCAAAGATGACGTGGGGTTAAGCATTATTATAATCAGAAATGATATTTGTAGAAGTTTCAAAGAACAAAGTTTAGGGACATAGGATAATTAATATGATGCAGGCAAGTAAGATGGATATTATATATGGACCACCAAGCACGAGGATGTGCGATATATTTAATTCTATTCGTTTTCATTCAACAACACAGAAATTTTTTGAGTGAAAGTATCACCAACTGACGCGGTGATACTGTACTAGTCTATAATTTCTCCATTTGTGGCCCAACCTTAACCTTTGTAAAGGAAACATGACCGGTTTGACAGGTATGTTTTTTTCACAATATTAAATATTAACCCATCAATTTGTTGAGTATTAAAAACTAAAGAAAAATATACATATCCGTATTGGTCGACCAACTGGACCCATGCATTCAATCACGTAGGGCACTGAGGCCAAATTAATGAGACGCACCCTTTTGTCTATTCTCGTGAGACGTAATCTATATATTATATATATGCGTCTGAAAGTTGGGGTGCACCAAATTAATGATTAAAATGATACTTTATGAAAATATATTTGTCTCCTATAAATCCATATAATAATATCATGCCCACCGTGTAAAAATCTAGTACGTACAAAACAAAACAGAAATATGGTACTCATGAACATTATGACTCTTGATTGCATGTAGGTACCTAGGTGATTAATTAGAAATCTTTTATGGTAGAGTATAGTGTGTGATTAGTTGGCAGAATGTTGGGTAATTAAACTACTAAACAATCAAATTAGGTTTTCATAATTTTTTTATGTAAACGATATTTTACTTTAACTTAATCTAAATTATGAGAAAGAGAATTTGAACTCTGGTGTAAAGTGGAGAGCGCATTCGCTCTAGTCAACTTGACTAAGCCAACGTCAGCAAATTTTCATAATTTTTTTCCATCAATACAAGAAATAACTTTTCCAACCATGTTTGTTTCATTGTTAGCCTTGTCATTAACTTGTTGTTAAACCATAATTATAATTATATGTTTATTATAATACAGAGTTTATAAGGTGCTTACGAATTTGATTAAAAAAATTTGACCACAAAATAATGATTAAAAAACCTTACCCTAAATTTAAGCAAATTTAAACTCCATTTGAATCTTAAAAACTTAATGAAATGGACATTAATGGAAAATTGCAGCAAATATTTGAAAGTATATTCAGCACAATAAGGAAAGAGCTGCTATTTCCACCTACCTATCATATTTCTCTACCACCTTATCTTCAAAAAATTTAAGACAAACTTACCCCTTTGTAAAATGATTTGAGGACTTGGGGAAAAAAAATAAAATAATAAAACCAATTAAAAAAAAACATATGAAGAAAAAAAAACTAAAAATATTTTTAAAAATTCTAAAACCCCTTCCCTCTCATCACGCATACCCCCACCCTCCTGCCTCCTCCCTCTTCCTCCATTGCACGGCAGCCATCTCCCTCACTTCCTCAAGCACCCACCTACAGTACCCCAGTCCAATCCATTCCGCCCTCCCATCTCTCTGTGGGAATTGAGTGCTTTCCGTGATTCGAACTTGAAGAACCATAGGGATATTGGGGGAACTGAAGAGAGCAGAAGGACGACTAGGGAGGCTCTGGATTCTTCAACGAGAAGAGAAGTTTCATTTATGAAGTTGAAAGCATTGCTCAAAGATGTAATTGAGAGCTTGTGAATATGGTATTTTGTATAGGATGTTGAGGGATTAAGTGGGTAATTGGTGAATTTTGGGCTCTGAGCAGCTATTGCTTAGCTCCACGGATATGTTGGTGTTCTGCCTTTGGATTTTTCGGATCCTAGAGAGAACAATTTCCAGCAATTCATAGGCTTGTTGTGTTGTAGCTATTGAGTAATTCATTTCTTTGGTAAAATATATAGTTTCATCTCTTAGTTCTTTTGATTCCTATTCAATTGGGTATATTTGTATCTTGTAGAATTTGACTATATGCATTGTAATATTTATGGGTTTCTGATATATTGATCTATGGAGCTCGAATTTGGAGGCGAGGCTCATAATTACTAAGATTGTTTTTGTACCAAATTATGTCATGTCATCATTTAGTACCAAATTATAATTAAAGGGTATTTTAGAATTAAAGGTGGGTGGAAAGATAAGATTTTGTTTTTTCAAATTTACATGTGGGTGGGAAGATAAGGTGGGTGGGGAAATAGGACATGAGGTGGAAATAGCAGCAAGGACTCATTAGTGTAGTAGTTTGGAATAATTTCCCCCAGGCAAGGTCCTGGATTCGAGTCCTAGCATTCATATTGTGTGTGAGTTTAGTATATTATTGCCTCTTTCAATAAAAAAATATATTTTAAGAATTAGAAATATGAAAAAATGGAGACAAACAACAACAGCAAAGACAACTCAAACTTTAAGCTTGATTAGGTAACTTGTTGAGTTGGATGAATCCTAGTCATCGGATTTTCTTATTAAAAAAATGGGTTTTATTTATAATAAAAATAAAAAAAATAAATAAAAGGTGATCAATTGCAGGTAAAAAAAATTTAATTTGAGAGGGTAAAGCCAAATTTACTATAATTAAAACTTTGTGAGGGTTTTATTGTCTACTATAATTAAGTACTTTCTTGCTACGCTGCACGACCCTTATTGGATGTTCAACTTTTTTGTTCTACAAAGAAATTTCATCTCATGTCAAAGAAAGAAAATATATATGTGGCCGTTGGTCAAGGCGGCAAGTTGTTCATCAAATTCCCATTCACATTACCTACCTCCACAATTTATGAACGAACTACCTTGAACCTGCAAGGTCCCCAAAAGTCCATTGGACCAGTATGGCATTGGTTATAAATACACGTGCTTTGCAGATTCAAAGTAGGTTTTTCACTTCTTAGTGAAATGTTTTTATAAAAAAAATTAGGTAAACGAAGTGTAAATAGTCACACGTAAAAGAAGTAAATCAGGGAGACTTGAGACTGTCTGCATATATAAACATGGGGATCATATCACCTAAACTTTCTGCAAAATAGAAAGGTTAACGTAATTAGATTAGTTGACCTAGACATGATTTGCAGTGAAAAACAAAAGAAAAAAAGTTTAAATTTTGGAGTAGGTATGGAATTTTTTTTATAATAAAAAATTTATTAGTCTTGCTCTGGTCCAAAGAAGTTGTGACAGTATCCAATGTTTAGCCGCATCAACATCATGACACCAGGTTCATTTGGTCCCTTGATACAATTGGAACAAGCATCTAGTGTTGCAGGCCTGCAGCTCTATATAGCTTAGGAGAAAGAAAATTAAGGGTTTGAAAAGGAAAACTCATTGGAATTTGAGGTGGTTCTGAACTCATTCAAGATAACTTGCCCCTAAAAAACACAAACAAGCAAACCCCTGAAAATTTTATGAACAAGATAACTTCCCCACTTACTAAAATTTCCTGAAACTGTGAACAAGATAGTTTCCAAAGCATGGAGATGGATAATGTCCCCTGAATTCTCTTTCATGCCATATCCACATACACCATCATGCTTCGTCAGGATCGCACAGAATTTATATATACATATATCCAAGATTTAAGCTATTTTGGACATATATCTCTGTGAGGCTTTGTGACAAATTATAAGGTAAGCAGTCATGTCATGAATCAGAACAAATTAACTGTTAACCGCTCTCTCTCTTCTATCTTCTTCAGTTTTCTTCTCTCATTCAGCAACCACAACCAACAAGTTTTCTGTTATCTTCTTTTTTTATAAAGGATTTTTCTTATTGAAAGAGAGTGATTGTATGTTAAATTCACACACACTACACGGATGCTATAACTTGAACTCACACACTACACGAATGCTATGACTTGAACTCAAGACCTTTTCTAGAGGGAATTTTGTCTCCATGTATAACTTCCCTCATCAACCAACTTCTCACCTTTTCAATGTGGGGTCTACAGATCACTCTATTTATACCGAACTGTAAAGCCATATTATTTTCATATGCCTACTGCTACCCACCCTCAATTCTCTGTCCCACCCCTGTTTTCAAAACAGAGTCACTCTGTTTGTGCTGCATTGCCTTCTCATTCCCCCTTCTTTTCTTTTTTTTCTCTTCATGGCTCCTCTTCTCCCTTTAATTTTCTTCCTCATGTTCTCTTCAAATAGTGCTCAGGGTCCCCCCTCACCTGGCTATAACCCCAGTTCCAAAATTAGCACAGTAGGGTTTGATCAGGTTTTTAGAAACCTATGGGGACCTAAGCATCAGAATTTAGACCAGGGTGCATTAACAATCTGGCTTGATTCTAGCTCAGGTACTCAACCATACAAACTTCATGCTTTTCTATACTTCAATTTAGTAATTTTGATCTGTTTTATGCTTTAATTAAGTTTTATGATCATTTATAATTATTATCTCAGATTTTTTAGCATCTGCTACATTTTTGACATACTGCAGGAAGTGGGTTCAAGTCACTTCATCCATATCGTTCTGGATATTTTGGAGCAGCCGTCAAGCTCCAACCAGGTTATACTGCTGGAGTAATTACATCATTTTATGTAAGGCTTGCTTTCATGATTGCATAATTGCATTAGATTAATTAATTCCTAGATTAGGAAGAAGAATGAAAATTGGGTTGTGTCTAACTTTCTATGCTTGTTTTTACAGCTCTCTAACAATGAAGAACACCCAGGGAACCACGATGAAATCGATATCGAGTTCCTCGGGACAACCCCCGGGAAGCCCTACACTCTGCAAACCAATGTGTACATTAGAGGAAGTGGAGATGGAAACATCATTGGGAGAGAGAAGAAGTTTCATCTCTGGTTTGATCCAACACAAGACTTTCATAACTACGCTATAGTATGGAACCCTACTGAGATCATGTGAGTATGGTGGTACCACCAATTGTTGTACCTTTTTTCCAATCAAACTTAATGTTTTACATGTCACATGTGTTTGTAAGGTAAACATCAAGGCAAACTGTCTTGTGTCTTTTAGTAGGGGAATGTGTGAAGCACAGTTTGTTTTTTATTTTTGAAGGGGAAATGCTACTTAGGATTCTGGTTTTTTTATTCCCTTTTTTCTAAAGAATCTTCTAAGTTCATTGAGTCGTTACATCAACGTAAATTCCCCAAAATTCTGAACTTACTTTCAACTTTTACTTTATTAGTTTAAATAATTATCATATTACTGATCACATCTCTCTTGTATGTGAAATTCACGAATGACCTTTTACATTAGCATCATTGATTTTCTTTTTTATATTTTTTTGTTGCCTTATGAAGATTGAGTTGATACACATTTAAATTATGTTTGTAGAGCTGACAATAATAATGATGACTTATTATATATGATGTAAATAATTTATAGATTCCTGGTGGATGATGTGCCCATAAGAAGGTACCAAAGAAAGAGTGATGCCACGTTTCCATTGAGGCCAATGTGGGCATATGGATCCATATGGGATGCATCAACATGGGCCACAGAGGATGGAAAATACAAAGCCGACTACAATTACCAACCTTTTATTGGAAGGTACAACAATTTCAAACTAGGTGGGTGCACAGCCGATGGCCCTACTACAACCTCATGCCAGCCGCCCTCGGCCTCCCCCTCTGGCGCAACGGGGCTGAGCCAGCAGCAGAACTCAGCCATGGAGTGGGTGCAGAGGAACTACTTGGTGTATGACTATTGCCGGGACCCCAAGAGAGACCATACACAGACACCTGAGTGTTGAAGAGTCTGGCTTGCACTTCGGTTTCCCAAGTGATGCATATAATATTTACACAAGTGAATTAATTGTTGTCGTTTATAGTTATAAGCAGTTTGTTTGGACTTGATTGGAGGGCCTTGAGATGGATCCCACTTGCTCTAAATGGGTGCAGCAAGAGGGGTTGTTGAGCGTCCAAGGCCTTTTGGATTTGGATTATTGCATTTTTTTCGTTTCTTTTTGCAGTGTCATTTGATGATTGCTTTTGTTGTACCAAACAATGTACGATTAATAAATTTATGTGATAGGGCATGGTTTTAATAAATTGTTCTTCGGTTTTTTTATGCCCCGCAGAGAGAAATGGGTCCGATTATTATGCCATATTTTGCATTCATGCAGAAGGAGCACACAGTAGCCCACTTGTGACAATTGTCTTTGGATTTGTCTATGGATTTTAGTTGCACAAAAATCAATTGTGAGTAAAAGCAATATAGTTCAAACTGGTTGCTTTTAGAATACGATGTGATTTGTATGGAGATAAGATCTTTAGAGATCTACCTTGTAATTTACTTTAACTTCAAATATATATATATATATATATAGCTTCTATTAAAAGATTCCTTAAATAAGTTTATTTGAGGGACACTCTTGTAGCGCCCACTCTGCAGTGTGTTTCACTAATCCAAACCGTCTATTTTTTAGATATTCATTCAAATATCATCTCTACAAAAAATCATTTGAATCCGATATATATAGTTTGAACTGTTTGGAGATAATTTAATTAGTATATGTTTAATTAGTCAATCGAATTATATATTAAAAAAAATCATAAGAGAATTATTATTTGCAGTCTAATTCTTTTATAAATTAGTATGCATCACGTGTATCTTTTTCATCTTTTTATTTTTATAAATTATATTTGGATAGAGAAAAATAACTTGGAATTCAGCTAAAAGGAGATATTGATATTTTCGTTGTTTAGCAACTTAAGCATGTAATTTATTAAATGACGTGTGGAAAAATTGTGAAAATTGGAAATCAAGATTCTCGAATTTTATTAAAGTCAAAAGAGATGTCATTTCACAATTTATATTCAGCCCCTTTGAGAACATTTAACCAATCAAGTCGGCCGCAGGCTTAATAATTTAATTGACTAAAGTAAAAGACGACGAAGTAAACAGAGAAAGGATGAAGAATCTTTGTATGATAAAAAGTCTATTCATACATCGGATCCATCCTAGTAAATACATTAAGTCAAACATTTCGGAGCACTTGTGATTAAACAGTCTCATTAGAATCAGCCTAATTATAGCTTAGGGAAGAAAACAAAAGCTTTTATCATTGAATGAATAAATAGACTTATGTGATTGGGCCAAATCAACACAACTACCATATGATATTCTGAGCAGTTTAAACCATGGTGTCAAAGCACTTTTGATGATCCAATGAACCCTTATTGTGTTTGATTTTGCAGTTCTGGGGTTTAATTGGTTGCTCTACTTTAGATCTGTTTTCAGAGGAGGTGGAGTTTGCTAGATTTGGGAGGATTTTCTAGTTATTGGTGCTTGTAGATCAAGAGGGTGTTGGAAACTAGCAGTGACATTCTCTGGAATGTTTTGGTGGAATCTGAGTGGTAATGCCCTCCACTTGATGATGTTTTCTGCTCCGAAATGTTGCAGGATTTTATCTGGCATGGTCTTCTTTCTTGTGGCCCTGGATGTTCAGGTTATTTGTCCTCTTCATCAACTCCAAATGACCTATGTTATCTAAGCTGTGTATTTTCTTGTGCTCACTGTCTTGCAATAACTGTAATTCGTTGTTTATATTTCTTGTTTCTCTTATTGCAAGAACCCTCCTTTTTTGGGGTTGTGTTCTTTCACTCTATACCTTGTTTTTTCCCCATTTGTTAAAAACTGTTGTCTGCTCACAAAATAAACAAACTAGATGCCTATGATACACACAAAATTGTAAAATGGATATTGGGCTTTGGGCTATAGGGCTGTGGTTTGTTTTTGGGCCTCTCATAAATCCATAGAAAAAACGATTATTTGTCGAGTCCATTTTCATCAACTCCGATAAAAGCTACTCTGCACTGTATTCGTCAAGACTTTTTTCATCATGGTCGCCACATTTATGCTTTATCGGATCGGAGGACATCCGACACTTCTAACTTGCATGGCCGGCATGGTAGTCTCACTCTCTTTTTACCATAAAAAGCTAAGTCATACATTAGTGAGTTGTCGGCTAACGATCGGGCGGTAATAAGAGAAAAATTGTTAGGACAGAAAACCTACAGTTTGGCAAGTATAAGACTCATGTGAGAATTTTAAATGATGTGACAATACACGTGCCTCAACAGATGACTAGTCATGTGACTTGACTATTCATATCCTAATGCATTTTGATTCACGAAATGCATAATTTACCTTTGAGCTGTTTTGTCATGAGTTGCAAGCTGACTAATCGGTACTAATTACTTGATTAGAAAACAAACATGGGAATCAGGTGGGAGACGACGTCGATGATGGTGGATGGCGGCAAAACTACTTGGATCTCTGTCTCATCTTTCGGCTCTTCCTCTTCAACCTCCTCATGCTCTTCTTTCCACTTGGCTCTCATGGTGACGATGAAATGAAGTTCACTCTCTAGTTCTGCAAAGAAGGCTGCGGGGAAGGGAACAAGATATCTTCTGTGTTCAATATTTTAGTGGATTTATAGCATTTGAAACTTGTAAAGAATAAGTTAATGGGAATACTGTAAGAAAATAGTAATAGATGCTCAGTGACAAAATACAATGTGCGTTGCTAATTGGAGTTATAACTTAGCTTTTGGAGTTTGCATCCTCGATGAGACCCCTACCTAGAAGGAAAATATCCTTCTTGATGATCTGTTCGGGATTGCTAGACCTTGATTTCTGCTATTTAACTTTGCTTGTTGGCCCCTCTTATCACCAAAAAAAATCAATGCGACTGCATGTAGAAAAACAACGTGATATATACAACTGAAAAAGCCTATTGGCACGTGCGAAAACGTAATGGAAAAGTCTTTGTTTTTTTTTTACTGTTATTTTCTATCGAGAGAGGATGGTGAACATTGCATAACACTCACATTTAGAATTTTTCAATACTCATCATCAAACTCATTCTTTGGTTACAATTTAAAAGCAATGTGGAACTGATAACCGTTTGGTGTCAAAAATAAAAAGAAATAAAAACCGAGACCCATCAACATCAACTCATTCTTTAGCAACTACAATCAACGTGGTTGGGAAAAGGAAAAACAATTGAAAAAAATATTAAATAAAAAACTTTTCAGACCCGCGAAACACACCCTTCCACTGCTAATGCGTCATTGCTCCGTCCTGCCTCATCATCAGAAAAATGCAGATTTGTGCGGAATCGTACAAAACACGACCCGCATCATGCAGATTTTCCTTCATAAGTTTATCCCATTCTAGATGAACTCCTGCCTTCTTCACCCTCCCAAAACCAACCGGTTTTACACAAATCGGGACTAGGTCCCCGTCCGCAAACGGAACACATCGTTTGACACTTGTCCCTGCCAAAGATAATCGCCTTCAGGTTCTTGACTGGAAACTTTTACCGAGGCAATTGGGATCACGGCCAAGAAATTAGCTCCCTTCATAAAATTTATAACCATCATGCCAATACAACATTTAGAATCTATAGGTTTTGTGGAGTCTGAGGAGTAAACGAAGCACACAGTCAACCCTTTTAAATTACGACCGACAATTATTTGAGGAACGTCCAAAAAATTAAAAAAAGGGGTCCAGGCATAGCCGATCGGCTAAACACGGTTATTAATTTTTTTAAAAAAAGAAGTAGTGTAGCCGATCGGCTAAACTCGATATTTAGAATTTTTTTTTTCAAATCGTATAGCCGCGCGGCTACACTAGTATAGTATAGCCGATCGGCTATACTCGATTTTCCCCCTTTTGTCTAAATAAATAGTATAGCCGCGGGTTTTTTAAAGTTTTTGAAAAGAAATAGTATAGCCGATCGGCTATACTCGGTTTTTCCAATTTTTTGGAAACAAATAGTATAGCCTCCCGGCCGTTTAGCCGCTCGGCTATACTTTTTTTTTTTTTTTTCAAAAAAAAAAATTTTAATTCGACTTCATCCAGTCCCCCCTCATATCTATCTATCTTTAGACATTGCATACCCTGAAATACAATGAAGACGCCCTTTACGAAATCCCCAATTTTGTCCCTGACCTGTAACACACCAGAATGGATAAGACAGAAGTCCCAATACCGACAAAACAGTTTGTCAAAGAGAAATAGAATGCTGATATCAAATAGAAACATAGTAACATGATTAAAGAGCAATACACAAGAAGAAATATACCTACGAAACTCATGCTCTTTCTGCTAACAGACTTCGATCTACAACTATATCTTAATGCAGCTGTAGCCAGTCAAGAAGTTCAATTTGAAATAGTCCAGTGGTTTGGTTTGGTCTTCATACTGAAACAGTCCACATTCTTAAGTTATATGCTCATCTTTACTACAAGCTAACGCATTTGCACCAACATAACTTCAAGTTTAACAAGAATATACATGAGAAAGAAGAGTATGAAGCAAACCTCCAATGGAAGAGTGGCAATCAGTGGAGCACAAGCCTCATTTGTCAAAGACTTCTCGGTCTGAAAAAATATAGTCTTAACCTATAAAACATCAAAACAAACATACATACAGCAATTAGCACCCAAAACCAAGCAGAAAACACCATCCTAATTCCACCACTCAAAGAAACCAAAATGAAAAAACACAAATTTGCAATACCTTGTCCCAGTTCTCTTCATCCACACTCCGAAAAGCTCAAAGTCGATCCAAGCCTTTCAGAAACAATCGGAAGGTAAAATTCTTGATCATGAGGCATAAATGGCTCCACTATAAACGCATTATAGGCGCCTTACAGCCTCCCATCTCAACCTTTTTCCAAATTCACACAAAACCCTTCAAACAAAACATCCAAAAATTCAATCTTGAACAACTGGGTTCGCAACAAACGATCAAAATCAGAAAAATAAAAAATCGGATGGCAATTACCTTCTTGCCAAGACGCTGCTGGCGACCGGAGCCATATCCAAATTGAGAGCAACAAGGCCCCTCTTCCCGCTCTCCCCGAACAACATATCGGGCTTCACCACGAGCCTCGTTGAAGACAGCCATGTCTCCGCGCGGTGGGTGTCGATATACAAGTCGATTTGAGAAGGAAAGGGAGAGTGCAGTTGGCAGGTGCGGCTGATGAGTGTACTATATTTGGATTAGATGATGAAGGCACACGCGGCAATAGCTCACGCTTTCGACGTGCCAACCGCTTGCAGAACTGTCAAGTTTGTTGGTAAATCTGGGATTGCATTAAGGTTTATGCAGTTATCTAAACACAATTTTTGAAGCTTTGAAAGACCACCGAGGCTTGGTAGCCTACGAAAACCATTGTTTCCAAGATTTAAATCTGCTAAGGAAATTAGGCTTCTTCAGTTAAGCTGCAGCTTGCAAGAGCTAATTCCCTTAAAGAGCCATTTAAGGAAGGGGGCAAAAGATGTGTTGACGGTGACCCTGTCACACCACATACAGATAAAACTCTCAAGTTGTTCGATTATACCATGTCCCCTAAGCCATCAGCCAAGTTTTGAAATCTTGAACAACCATTAAGTAGAAGAGTTTTAATGGACTTGGAATTATAGAAATTGAGTGGGAGATGCGTCAGCATTTCGCAGTCTTCAAGATTTACCAAAGTAAGTCTTTGAAGATCCCCAATGGAAGATTGAACCTCAGGCAAACTTTTACAGTCTTCCAATATCAGTTCCTCGAGATTTGGGAGTTTTGAAAAGTCTGGAGATTTGGCTAGGTCATGGGAATGACTGAGATTAATGAATTTCAACTTGGTAAACATCTGTTACACAAAACCGGAAGAAACCAGATATTAAAATCCAAAAGAAACGTTTGATCAAAGCATTAATCCGAACAGAACATTATATGATGTAGAAAACCAGAAAGAAAGAACTACTAGCTAGTAACAACTAGGTTGACAATAATTGTACGTACTTCGATTCCTCCCAAACTAGTATGAGTTTGCTATTCTGCTGGTCCATGGCAACTAAGCTTTCTTGATCAAATTGATTCGGTATGGATGGTAGTGGAAATCCATGCCAGCACATCCACAACATGTTGGTGGAAAGATATTTGTAGCCGTCAGTGAGCTCTACGTAATTGAGTTGGAGCAATTTCAGTCGCCTTATGTTTTCAAATGCTTGTGCATTGAAACTAGCCTTTTCAGATATTTTCAAATTTAGAGCAAGTCCTTGAATTTCGTCAGTTCCCTGTTAACAAAGGCACTCAGTAAGAAAAAAGGGTTATTTTCATGTGGAAAATTATTTATGGACGAGTTTTTATCATATCTAGCCTAAATTTGACCCCTAAATTCATAAATGTCCGTTTTTGTAAAAACTTTCAAATATAGCCAAAAACGCAGTTAAATAGACTCAAATAACCCTTTAAATTAAAGCCAGTTAAATTTCTCCCCGCCTATGCCTAATAAATTTACTTGCTTATGCAGTAAACGTTTCTCCTCTCAAAATTGGGATGCCACCTTTTTCTACCCAAATCGTATTCTCTTGTCCAGTAGTCTCCACCAATTTACTAGTCACTCAGAATTTATAACTAAAGACAGAACAAATTAGTAAGGCTTAGAAATTTCATTCTTCTTTTTCCAGAATATGACATACTAACATGTTACCAACAAAAAATGAAAAATAAAAACTACCGAACAAAAAATGAAAATTGAAAACTACCACACAAAAAATGAAAAATGTTACCAACATGTTTTTATTTATTTTTATTTTTTTAAAGTGAAAATTAAATGGTTATCAAAACCCCTAAAATGAAATGAGTTTAGGATTTTCTCTCAACAGTAAAAAGTGAAAATGAAATGGTTATCAAACCACCTTACATTATGCTTTCAACCATTTTTGTGGAAAGATACAGATTTTCTTTTCAACACTTCTCTTACATCTTCTTGATGCCACAGCCTACTGCGTTTTCCAGGGTCATAATAGGATTCTTCACAAACAATTTCTCTGCCCATGTCTCGAAACAAATCTGCGTGACATACTTCTTGTCATAAGGCACCGCTGCCGGAGGTTATTGATTCCTGTTTCTACAGACTTTCCATGATAACCTTCCAATATCTGCGTGACATACTTCTTGTCCATTCCAATAAAGAAAACAAGATATATCAAGGAATATATCCTTATCTTTATTATCTAGCCCCTTATAGCTTATTCTGACCTTGTTTACAACATCTTCAGGAGGAATTGTATTCAATTTATCCAATTGGCTTTCCCACACTTCCTTGCTTTGTGTGGCCAACGAAGAGACCAAAACTTTTAGCGCTAGTGGCAAACCTCTACAGTAAGAAACTACTCTTCTTGAGAGCTCAACATATTCTTCGTTAACATGACATCCTTTAAAGGCATGCCAAATAAAGAGCTCTAGAGCTTCTTCTTCATCCATTTCTTCAGCGACATATATATCATCGACACAAGGTTTTAGCAACTGCTCATCTCTTGTTATATCAATTCTACTTCCTGGACCGAACCAATCATGGCTTCTAGCTAATGCCTCTAGTTGCTCCACTTTATCTACGTCGTCGATTATGACGAGTAATTTTCTATGTTGAAGTTTTTCTTTTATCATAATGGTTCCTCTATCCACAAAACCAACGTCCTTCGTCTTGCTTCTGTTCAAGGTTTCAGAAAGAAGAAGTTCTCTAGCCGAGACTCAATTCCAACTGGGAAGTCGATGTCTAATGAGCGTTTGTTATTCAACTGTCGATCAATCTCCCCAACAATTCTCCCAATAAAATTTGCTTCATGCCTGGCAATAAACAGGAGAACTATGAACCATTATGAAACCAGCACAAGGTGAAACATTTAAATCAATAACTTATTTACAATTAACAATATCTGGTTATTGTTCAGTTTGTTAAAACATTGTTGGACAAAGCAGGGTAAAATTGATTCAATTCCAAGTAAAAGGAAAATACGTTTCTGTCCACAATATCCTAAGGGAAATAGTTGTTTAATCTTGTTGGATGAACAGGGTTCCAAACAACTCAATTTTGTATGGGAACATGAAACTGATTTCTATAAAATCTTATTTATCCCAATTTGATTAAAAATAATCAAACCAATAGCACAGGAGCATTGGCATTCTATTGCTATATGGTTTGCCAAACTTGGTTCGCCATATGGTGTTAACAATACTAATAATAAAGTACACTCGCAAGAGAGGAAAAAGGCACGTGTGGGAAAGGATCTTGACATTCTCCGAGAATTACTTCCTTAATCCTAAACTTCAAGCGAAAGAAAGAAAAGGATCGTAAATCCTTGAACACAACGGTTTAGTGTGTACCAAAGAGCCTCCAATGCTTAGGTTAGTTCTCAAATAAAAAATTAGGGTTATTCTGAATATGGAGAATGATCAAAAAGTCCCTGTGCATAGATATCAATGTCCATGCAATCCTCCATGTTTTAAATTGGTTTTTCCAATCATGTGTGATAGATTATTGTGATAGGCCGGTCCACATTTTAATTCTCTTCTTATTCTTTTAAATATTCTATTCCAATTTTATCCTTAATAGCTTAAAGGCTTATTTACTGTAATGCCTCTAAAACTATGATCAAGTCTCACTTTACCTCATGGAAGTTAAAGTGAGTCACTTTATTACCTTGACCAAAGTTTGATGTCCCATGTTGCCCTTGACTCCACCCAAAATTCTATTATTATTTTTTTTTTATGACATGAAAGGGGTTGTTTTGCAGAGACATAGACGGTTTGAAGGACCAGTCAGTTATATGCAGGAGGTGATGAAATGGTATTGAATTTATAATTTTTATGCAATATTGTTGTTTTGAATTTGCTCTCTTTCATTTGGATTTTATTATGTATTTGTTTTGTTGTTAGGTTGCAACTTAAAAATTAGAGGATTAAATGCTAGACAGTGAATGTTCAACAAGAAGGAAAAAAAAAAAAGGAAAAATAGAGAGATTAAAAAAAATGGATAAAAGAAGGGAAAAACAAAAAAGGCCCATTTTGGTCCGCCCAATAGGCCAAGCCCTGCCCGGTGGGCATTTCCAAACCCAGCTATGATGTGGGCCTTGATTTTGAATTTTCTGTAAAAGCCCAGCCCAGTCTGTTATTTTTTCTCTCCTAATTAAAGCCTGGTTTGGCCCAGCTCAAGCCCATACAACTATTCATGTATTTTCACGTATTTTCACCCTCCAAAATACAACTATTCATGTATTTTCATGACTCAAAATTTTTTTTCCTCTAACCTTGCAGACTCATAATTTGAGTCTACAACTTTATTAAATTGTTTAAGAATGATTAACCCCTAATTTTTTTTTCTTGTTAATTTTTCTTTCAATACTCATGATTTAATTTTCTAAATATTTTAACCTAAAAAAATTAAAATTCCAAAACATAATAGAATTTCACTTAAAAATAAAAACAATTAAAAACCATATGTTGGAATATTTATAAATAAATAAAACAGCATAACAAAAATTTGAAAAACTAGCCGTTGCTTGTCAAAAACGGAAAAGGAATGAAGATTCCCACTTGTCAAAGTGGGCCAGCAAACAAAGTTGGGCACATGGGCTGCTGCTTTCCTACAATAAAAAATTATATGTTAAAGCAGATTGGGCCCCACATAATTACCAGTCCAGGCAGAATTTTGGGTGAAATTTCAGTTCAAGTTTGAGGCATCTCAAATTTTTACCTCCCAAAATACATGGGTTGGAGATGGTTTTTGGAGGCTAAACTCAAAATTTGAGTTTCCACCCCAAAGGTTAGAGATGGTCTTAACCTGATGCCTAAAGATTCTAGCAAGATATTGAGATGACGTTTCAAGAAATAAAGCTGTCATCGGTAAAAAAGAAAAAAGAAATAAAGATTCTAGCAATAATACACGAAACATGAACGTGGCACCCCTAGATAAACAAATCTCCAGCCAAAAATAATAAAAAAGAAAAATTCCCAGAAAGCTAGCTTATTATAAGTTGAGTTATTGTCCAAACCTCTTCTCTCTTAAACTAACAGAGGCCAACAAAACCCCATTTCAATTTCACAACCTACCTTCTATCGAAAAGCACACAATCAAACATGCCGAAGAAGCCTGATTCACAGCCTGCTGCTTTTGTTGGCTACCTACAGTTTATGCCTTGGAGCGAGGGATCATCTTCTTCACAGCTCAATGAGTCTCAACAAATTCAAATCAAAGATCGATATTCATACAAACATGCTTATGGTGGAGGGTCAAGCAGCTTTACTGGGAGCTGCAAGGCTGGAAAGTTTGTGGACAAGAGGACTGGCGGCTTGGGTTACAAGCAAGAGGCAAAGTGCACCTCCACTGCCAAACATGTGGACAAGGAGCTAGGGTTTACCACTGAGTGCCAGACCCAGGTGAAGTACAAGATGTCCGTTTACCCTAACAAGACCCAAGTGAAAAAGTCTGCTTCTCCTAAGAAGACTCAAGCGAAGGTCCGGAAGTCTGCTTCTCCTTACAAGAGGGTAACCAAGTCCTACAGCAAACGTATTGACTATTATTAGATTTTCATGCTCACTGGGGGATTTCTTGGTATCAGTTATTTTGATAAGTGTCTTGAAAGTTTATGTGTCTAAGCTTGTTCATGTTTACTCGGAGTAATCTCCTGCTATATCTGTCAGTGTGAAGTATTTCTCTTTCTTATGTGATGAACTTATAAGTTGTTATTATGTCTACCTTTTTAAGTATATATTGATGTGTGTTTCTTTTTCATGATCAATCACTCCCTCTGTAGGATATCTGTCATTTTTCAGCAGGCAAACCATTCTTTTGTTTAATTTTCTTTTGAAAGTATGTTGGTTAGTTGGTTCTTGAGTTTCAAACATTTTGCAATTTTAGCAGTTTCATTCTACATCGACCCAAATTTCTAAAGTACAGCTACCTCGGGAATTTCGATTCCAATGAGCTACTTAGCCCTGAAGATCAGGCCAAAAGATCAGAAATCCATGGTGAAAACTTCTACCAAAGTATGAAGTATCAAAAGATTAATATTGGTACCAAAATCATGTCGAGAATGAGATTTAATTTGTCTCAGCAATTCTCCAAGTTTATTATGAGTTCTTGTAAGTTAACCAATATGATATTGGAATATTGGCCCAAATTATCGTTTCTACTTTTCCCTTTAGGCGACCACTTTGGAGAAAGGAAAAGGCAAAGGCAAGTGGGGACTTGCAAGCCGTGCACCATTTGGTGAGAGATTGAGGAGCTGATGCTCACTTTGTTGTGGCACTTCTTGAGAGAAGAGATGGAGAACTCGGCAGGCATGGACTTATGAATCATAAATGATTAGGGCTAATTTTTAGGCCAATTTTTTTAATTAAAAATTCGACAAAATCTACTCTCTTTTTTTATTGCATTTCGACTACTAGGGCTTGCTGTGAGACTGCTTGCAAGTTACAACATTTTAATAGTATGGAACCCTACTGAGATCATGTGAGTATAGTTGTTGTACCACCAATTCTTGTACATATTTGCATTCAACTTAATGTTTTACATGTCACAAGTGTTTGTAATTTTGTAGGTATGGTAAACATCAAGCCAAACTGTCTTACGTCTCTTACTCTATATCATTAAGCAGGGGAATGTCTGAAACACAATTATTTCTGATTTTTTTAAGGGAAATTGCTACTTAGGATTCTGGTTTTTTGTTTCCCCTTCTCTAAGGAATCTTTCAATTTCCGAGTTGTTACATCAAAGTAAATTGCCCAAAAATTCTACACTCACTTTCAACCTTTACTTTATAGCTAAAGTAATATCATATTATTGATCACATCTCTTTAGATGTGAGATTCATAGATGACCTCTTATATTATACAAAGAGATTAATATTGGTACCAAAACCATGTCGAGAATGAGATTTAATTTGTTTCGGCAATTCTCCAAGTTTATTCTGAGTTCTTGTAACCAATATGATGTTGGAACATTGGCCGAAGAGACGTACACAAACACTTGAGTGTTGAAGAGTCTGCCTTGCACTTTGGTTTTCCAAGTTATGCATATAACATTTACACAAGTTAATTAATTGTTGTTGTCAAATTGCCACATAGATATGAAATGGAAAAAATTGAAAGTTAAAGTTGCTCCAACTAAATAGTCAAATCCTACACGGATTTGAAGGGTGGAAAAGATATGTCAAAAATAACATATCAAAAAGCTTGATGTCAAATATTTTTTTAAATATTTTTTTAGTCATAAACCCCACTATTATTTACTCTCTTTTAACTTTATGCATCATATGGGCTCCATTTGCTTTTAAAACTGTAATAAAATAATATGAAATTTGGCATTTTGGGTGGAGTTAAAAAAAAAAATCAAAATGTCAAATTGTCACATAAGTCATCACTTTATTGGAGGGCCTTGAGCTGGATCCCACTTTTTAGAAATATGTGCAATAGTGGTTGTTGAGAGTGTCCTAGGCCTTTGGATTTGGATTAATGCATTGGATTAACTGTTGATCAAGGGCGGAACCAGGAATTTTTCGATGGGTGGGATAGCTAAAATTTTTAACTTCAACTCTAATGATTTTTTTCTATTTTTTCCATTGACTAATTTTCAATAAACTTTATAAGATAAATACATATTAAATGTA